AAGGAGGATAGATATCTTCTTGATTAACCAGATATGCAAAATCATTTATTGTCATAATGTTATGCGAATGAAGTGCGATTCATCGCTTTTTATTCGCAGTTCTGCGAATTTGAAGAGTCGCTCCAAAACGTCTTCTCAGTCTTTGGCAAATTAATAACGTCGCGCGTATCAAGGAGGATATCTTCTTGAGTCTTCTATAAAAGGTAGCTGAGATGAGACAATTGAATTAGGATCAGGACCATTTTATCAACATTCTTCAACTCTCGTTTTCCTCAACATGTCGGTCAATGAAGTCTCTTCATTGTACGGACATGTTGAGAAAAAATGAAGGTTGAAGAATTGAGAGATGGGTCCTGATCCTCCTTTTGTCTTTGAGGGTGCGCTCCCTTTCACTGTCGTAGCCTCCTCAATCTAGTATACCTCGGAAGTCCAAGCACTCTCCCTGGAGATCCCACGCCTTCCCAGGCACATGGTCGTCTCACATTGTAAGCTAAAAAAAATTGGAGGCTGGAAAAGTTGTAGGTGACCATGTGTTTGGGTAGGCGTGGAATCTCCTCCGAATGCTTGGTCTTCCGGGGTTTACTAGATTGAGGCGCCTACGACGGTGAAAGGGAGCACCCCTTCAAAGACGAAGGTGCTTGTTCTTCCGGGGTATACTAGATTGAGACTTTCAAATGTTTATCGAAAGTCAAACATGTCTTGCCGAACACGTTCAACTCTCGGACCAACTTGTTTACCTCCCCATGTTCCTCCAGCTTCGGCACAGTCATCCAATTGGTTCTGATCTTTGAAGTTGTTCTTTTTTTTTTTTGGTACATTTGAAGCTGTTCTTCAACTTGTTGTTGTAGCCTCCTCTATCTAGTAATTTGTGTGACGTTGTAAGGTTACTTGTGAACTACTTCACAGTCGATGTAAAATAGTTAAGTACATGTAAAATTGCGATGTACATGCGTCGCATATTATTCGTCTATAAAAAATTACTTGATGTAAAGTAGTTGAGTCGATGCAAAATTACGACATATACGTCGCATATTATTCGCAGAATTGGTGTAAAGTAGTTGAGTCGATGCAAAATTACTACATATACGTCGCATATTATTCGCAGAATTGGTGCATTTAATTACTCGAAACATTTCCGCATATACGTCGCATATTATACAACTCTTTTTTTAAATAATAAATTGAAGAAGACTACTATTAGGCGAAAGAACCTGCGATTATTACTCGAAACATTTCCGCATAAAAAACGCATAACTTGAACTATAACGAATAACATATTTTTTTATATTTGTTTTTGTAAATTTTATATTCCC